ATGAATCAAATATGTATCTTTATTCATTTACAATAAACTCATAAAGTACATCATTCTGATTGAAGCTAAGGGCATACAAAACTGTCTAACAACTTAGAGATAAGTGTTGGGCCCATACTAAGCCCAACTCAATTGGCTTAGTGGTTCACTAAGTTTGATCAGTTAATTTGACCCATGCGTTTTCTAGCATGGGCGGACCCCATATGGACTTATATAAGACCTTTGTGGGTCCTGCACCATACATTCTTCGAGCCTAATAAAGTTTTCAACAGTTATGTAATTGAACCACTTAAGTAATGGGCCTTATCCCATTAGCTACTTGGACTAGTCACATGACAAGCAATAGGTCAAATATGGGTATGGATCTCTGTATTATCTAATGTGATTAGAGGACTAATCAAATCAGACTTAGATAGTCCTAATCACATTAGGATTGGGGTCTATGTATCAAAGACAAGAAGTAGAGATCGACCACCACTAGTGCACTTGTTCTAGCACCTTTCTCTCTACTCTCTTGCTACCCAAAACCATAGTTCAACCTAGCCTTGAGAAGCTTTTTCTTCTCTTTGTTTCTACTGTGTTTTCTTCTGCAAAAAATCAGAAATTAAAGTGGTTTTACAGCTGAAAAAATCCAAGTTACTTTGAGAAGGAATTCATCTGAAACTAGTTGCAAGATCGACCTCTACATATCAACTATGCCATCTTTAGTTGGGAGGATAATTTGAGCCTGAATCTTGGGCGTGAACCACCACTCTAGGAGCTGCACTCTGTGGCCTCCGTGTTAGGTACCACTCATAGTTTATTTGGAAATGAAATCTAGTTCGATCCAATGCTAGATCAACCCTAGGAGAATCCTATTGAGGATTTTATCGTTTTTATTACTTGATTTTATTTGTTATTTGTTTAGTTAGTAAGTGGGAACCACAGCAAACTATTTAGAATCTTTTAGAGTAGAGTTTTTGTATCAGCCACCCTATCAGGGCATATCAGTTATTGTACACAGCCTTTATTTTAAGTATAAATACCAATGGAAGAGGGCAGCCAGAACTGATTGTTTTCTCTTCCTTTCTTCACTCTTTCTCTTTTTCTTCTCTCTTCTCACAAAAACTTCTTCTTTTCTTCCTCTTTCTTCTACAGTTTTTCTTTTTTTTTTTATTACAGCAGATTTCTACTTGGTATCAGAGTTGTTCAACCAATCCACAACTCTTGAATCACCATCAATAATCGGTCTTTCAATACCCAACTCTTTGGCTTTCTCAACCCCATATACTGCTGTCAATAATTCTGATCTAACCACATCACCTTGCACAATTGTGCCTGAGTACAAAGCAAGTATGTTTCCTTCCTCATCCCTTATGACCAAGGTTTAAAATGTCGATGTCGGTGGAAATGTCGCTTACCAAAATATAGGACATATGTCAGAAATGTCGGAAATGTCGAGGGGTAATATTGTAAAAATTAGAGACATTATGGAAATATTATGAAATATGAGGAAATATGCAATGATATTTTGTAAAATGATAAAAGAAGCACTAAGACATATTTCTAGACTATTATCTTATTCCCAACCATTATATAAAGCTAAGAAACTAAGATCAATAACAAATTAGTAAATGACGATTTACTGATTTATTATGCATTTTGATGTTTTTACAAGGTTATCTGATATTTTCTTTTCTTATTTTTAATTCTGATTTATT